CACGAGCGTTTTGGCGAACGCGCAACCGTGCGTGAATCACTGAGGAAGCCAATCGCACGACGAGAGATCAAGGTGAGTCATCGCTACGTTCGGTTTCGCGCCAGCGAACAGAGACTTTGCTCGCTCGCTCGCTAAAGACACTCGGACTGCCGTTTCCAAGCAAGTATTATAAATTAACGAAAGATACTGCCCTTCGAGTTGGAACGAGCGACAGTGCGAACGGCGTGACATTGAAATATCGCATGTTACAGTTCGGAGAATTACGAAACAAAACGACCTTTCGTTACATAAGATAAGAGTCCAAATTTCACAGGAAGAAAATAGTATGTACCTATAATCGTCTCGAAGGGTATTTTATAAAATCAATAATCTTGGCTGCTATAATTAATGTTGTAATTGATATGCGCAAGTGCCATCCAGCACATTACACGATTTCAATTATTGAAAGATGCTCGTAATATGCGCTGAACGCTCATATTTTCCGACCCTTATGAGCCAATAATACGATAACGATTTACACGATACAGCGACGTGTTTATGCTTTAAGCTTTAACGACGTCCGTTTAACTCCGATGGCAGATAGCGCTAATTAAATCATCAACCTGAAGGAAAGCGGCCGGGTCGGAGGGGCCGGCGGCCTTTAAAGTGATATTATCATCGAAAGAAACACACATAAAATGCGAAATGTCCTTCATTTTCGACAATCAATAAACTTTTCGTTAGTGATCCGATTGAAAAAGTGAAGATCTGTACGAAGAAATAAATGCTGCGGAAAAGAAGTTCTTCCGTACGAGAATCCGTTTTTAAGAAAATCAATTTTCACGCTCAGCTTAATAATATCCTTATTCCAGCTGAAATAAACTTCTCAGCAAGACAAATTGTTCAATAGCAATCGTATGGGAATAACTATCTCAAAATAAATAAAACAAATTTAAAAAATCGATATTCTGTTAAAATAAACAAGAATTAAAATTTATAAATGTCTTATTGTTGTTGAAAAAATATTGAAATCATACATATATATTCTCTTAAATAAGGTACTATATTTTTGTTCACGTCCTGGCTAAAAGAACCGTTATTAAAACGAACACGTGAATCTATATGGCATTGTGCCATAGATTGAAAAATTATGCAAGCTACATGTATTTTTAAAAATAGGAAAAAGTTATCCTAAAAATACACCTGATAATCTGAACGAGTTTGACAGAAGAATCAGAAACATTTTGCAATTGAATATATATATATATATATTTTTTATATGTACATGTATACATGTATAATTGCGAGATGTTTTACTGATTTTTGGAAATTACAAAAATATTTACGGTTCAGAACACAAAGGTTCTTGGACCTTACAAAATCAATTCAAAATTCGTTAAAAGTAGAATGAAATTCACAATATTATTCATGCGATGTTATTTCGTCGAAGTGAGTGGGAGAATCCAGCGTGCAAATTTTAATACACAAAATAGTGTGTCACGGGGGAAATCTTATGCATGAATTTCGCAGTAAAAAAAAAACTCGCTCCGGGAAGTATAGCTTGCGATATCCCGATGGAATAGAACTGGAGGGATCCATCATCGATTCAACAACGGTAATTGTAACACAAATTCTGCTTATGTTATACGAGCGGTTCGCATGCTCGCGAATTAAGTCTGATAAATGTAACTCCGTCGTACTTGATATCGCCTTTGTTATCGTCGAGTATTATTATACACTTAACTATGCAGCGAAGAGTAAGACTAAGAAATTGCGAAAATAATATCGTTGTTAACAGAGGTAAACGTGCTGAATGTATTCAATTAGTTGGCAGTCTTTCAGAATTTCTTTCCACATTACATCACCATTGTTTTAATTTAAATATCAAATAAGCGTAAAGTTAGAATGTGTGTAACAATGGTATATATAATTAAGAAAGTGATATTATATAAAATATAATTATAACAATAATATATTTATAACTGTAATAAATGCAATATTATTTCCGAGCTATCTTCAATTGGTCGAGATGATATTTAAAAAAAAATATCGACGAAGAATCATTAACTTATCTAATTATAATAATTACAAAATAATTACATAAACGTCGGATCCATCCTAAAAATGGATATGATCTTATAACTGAATATAACAGTGATTTAATCCTTTCTGATCCAAAAGTCTCAATAGCTATATGAACGTTTATATCTTACGTAAGCAAATTTGTGTAGCCAGAAAGCTGTTACGATTCTGCGAATCGTCCTTTGATAGCTGATCAAACTTGCCGTGCAATCACACCACAAGAGAATCTGCATCGTAACGAGTATGGAGCAAAGGGGAAACCGCTAAGTAGTATAAGTAAACCGAGACTGTCCATGCGAGTGATTCTAGCTTACACTAACCTCGATTGACGCTAAACGTGATTTAAATACACTTTCTTTCCCTGCCTATCGCGTTGTTCTCACAGAGTGCAATGAAAGTCATTGAAGTAGAGTTTTTGTTTCCATAAAGAAAAAATTATATTCAAATACTAACTTCATGAATATACGTTTTGGAAATACTGCATAATTTCATGTACATAAATAATATGCATATAATTTTTCGTTTTGTGCAAAATTGTAAATCGATTGCATATTGGAGTGTTCTTTTTTTTACTTTTTGAATTATCACAATAAATTTTAAATTTTCTTGACAATAGGATAACTTTAACTTCAAAAAATCAAATCAAAACAAATTAATTTTTCGTTGAGAAAGTTAAATTCATTTGACCCAGTGTCATTTAGACATGTTCTCATTTTTATAACTTACATTAATTCAATATTAAAATCTCGCATTAAGGTATATTTAAGTTAATAAAAAAAAACATTTCATTATTCATTTTATTATTTTAGCTTGTCAGACAATACTTGGTTCGTTAAAAAAAAAAAAAAAGATTTAGCAAAGTCTGTCGTTTGTTCCATGACTGTAATCTTGAATGTCATCGACTGCGAGAATGAGCAACAATGATGTTGAAAAATTGCACGTAAGAACTCCGAAACTTCGGAAGATTCCTAATATCTAAAGAAAACTTCTTTTCCGCGGAAATAAACTTAAACTCGACAAACAGATAAATTCTTATATATTTTTCGCCTGGTTGCTTCACGGTGGAACTTTAATTCGAGATTGGATTACGAAAATAAACAGTGCGATCTAATTGGAGAGGCTCTCGTTAACATTTGTTCTAAAGTTCCAAAATAATTCTTAATCGCGCCAAATGATCGCGGTAATCCGATATTAAAACGCAAGAACGGGATCCAGATCGAATTTGACGGTTCGAGAAAAAGTCGGCTTCAATCCAAGATAGGGGAATAGCTGGACGCGCGCGTATAGTTTTTCGGCGCCCCGTAGCAGCTCCGACAACACACGCGTCACCTCGACTGACGATGACGAAGACGTTTCGAGGTGCGACGCACCGAAAAACCACGGAGATGGTCGCGCATGGCGATCGACGGACTCTCTTGCCGCGGTTTACTTTCTCCTCGCGGGGAAAAGGCGAGCCGGGCGCGCGGATAATCGCGCGAGTGAGACGGCGCGAGCGCTCGTTCCCCTCGTTCACGGACACAGGTTAACTGTTAACTCAGGTTGGAGGTTAACCTCACGCCGCGCCGAAGAAGCGGAGTACACGAGGTCGCGTACAGGTCGGACAGCGCGCGGCATGATGACGAGGGGGGGGGGGGGGGGGGAAAGTGCAACGGAGCCTTTTATTTTATTCGTGTCGCGAAAGAGAACGAGAGAAGAGTGAGAGAAGAAAGAGAGAGAAAGAAAGAGAAAGAGAGAGAGAGAGAGAGAGAGAGAAAGACAAGAGGACTTACCCCATAAACCAGTCCACGGTATCGCGGAGATACTCGGGTAACCTATCCAGCTTGGATGATTTTCGTGTGGATCACCGTCGTGAGGAAAGCAGCGCGCGCGATAGACGGGAAAACAAAGTGTAAATCTCCTCCTTCCCTTTCTCTCACTCTTTCTCCACAGTATCAGCACCACGGTAGTAGTCAGGCGGTAGTAGGCAGCTAGCGGCAGCAACGGCAGCAGCAGCATCGGCGGCAGCGGCGGCGGCGGCAGCAGCAGCGGCGGCGGCGGCGCGCGTTTCGCGATCTCGTGAAATCTAACATGGCGCGGCTCTATTGTCACCTGTTCCCGTCATGCCCCGTTGGCCACCGAGGCACATACCGCGGCCGATTCGTCCGCGATCGCCTGCCGTTCGTCAACGTCGTGATCGCCCCGCTCGCCCTCGTCGACGATCAACCCCGAGAGCTTCGCTGCTAGGCTAGCTACGCCAGCTAGCCTGGTATCACGCGACGCGAAGAGACGCACGAGAATCACTCCACAACGGCACACACGATCGCCCCTCTGCGACGCGCGAGATAATCGAAACCCCGCGACGCGCACAGCTGATCGTCTGACGTGGACGCGCGCGCCTCCGCTCGGCCAATGCCGCGCTTTCTCGGTCGACCGTAGATGACAGCACTTGCCAAGCACGGCCGGTACCCGCGATTTCTCGCGCCCCGTTCTTTCTAATAAAAAGGACTTTTGAGTTTTTTGTCATCTAATACATAGATAATATATTTATAAACAATACAAAATTTGTAAATTATTATTGGATAATACAGAGAAAGAAGCATTTAAGTTTTCTGACTTTAATACATATATAACATATATTTTTTATAAATAAGGATATATAAGCAAAATAGAAATTTATAGTACAGTTCAAGCTTATAACAACAATGAATATATATATTACCTATTGGTTGTTTCTCGTGGAAAGGTCTATGTAGTTCACGTTTTATACACATAGAGGCGCTAATGATATTTAGTTGATCCATCCATAGAGTTATCTAGGGATTCTAGAGATCATTTAAAAAACACGCATGTGTGATTCTAGGGACCCTAATCACATTTGCCGTTAAACTGCCATCTATCAATAGGAGAATGAAATGATGCATTTCCTGTCTGCGCGCGCACTTCACCAGTCACCTTCACGTTCTCCATTTCTTTCCGGTATCAGTCTTTAAGGAGATTAGTTGCGTCCTTCTCGTCCTCCATCAAAATGACGTGAGTATACAATCGTATCAAATAATTGCGATCGCATGCGTAAATCTTGACATTTTGCTACGAATAAATGTATTGAACTACAATTATTAACGAGGATATATTATTTTTGGAATATTTTTTAATGTAATGAAAGTATCGATACAACCGTTAATCACGACACATGTCGCATTGAAAGCATAAAAGCTGTAAACGTTTTATTCTGATGTGAGAATAAATACAGCGAAATTTTTTGAAGATTTTATATATAATAAGAAATTGCCAAAATTATCAAGTTTTTCGTTCGAAAAAATTTCCGAGTTGGCAGAAAAATATTGCACGTGCATTTCATTCTGATTGCAGATCGAAGGTCTCCCGTGACACTCTTTACGAGTGCGTAAATGCTGTGCTCCAAAATTCGCAAGATAAGAAAAGGAACTTCTTGGAAACCATAGAACTGCAGATTGGTTTGAAGAATTATGATCCACAGAAGGACAAGCGTTTCTCAGGCACCGTGAAGTATGTTTTCACCTGACTTTGAGGCATTTTTTAAATCTTAATATATATTTTATTCTTCATTAAGAATATAAAAATTGCCTCATATGTAATGTCAGGGAGCTAGATTTTATCTGGCGGACCTGTACCCAGGGTCTTAAATTAATTGGGGAGGTATTTATACCGTTATTTAAATTATATAGGATTATTATCCTGTTGGTAAGTTATTCCTATAACGTCACCTTTAGTAAAGGAAGAGATAGAATACAGAATATTTAAAATGAAAATTTTTTTTTAAATATAAATTTTATCTTAATTTCAATTAACATATGTAACAAATAGTTTTTGTATGTATATCTAATGTCTTACAATTAATATTTATCGAGTCGCCAGAGTTCTGTGATGTTTTATTTATTGCATGTATTATCTGAAGAATTTGTGTAGTAAAACATTTAAATTTCTGAGAACATTGGGACTCTAGATATTGCTATTTTTTTTTTTTTTTGTATAATTGTATGTATGAATAAAAGTTTGTTATTCTAATAATATAATTTTGCAATAAAAATAAATATTGCAGAGACCCCATATATACACATAATCATATTAAAGTCTTGAAACATAAGTACATTTATTTAAATGTTGATCACTATTGATTTTTCTTATGTTAGATTAAAGAATATCCCTAGACCAAAAATGCAAGTATGTGTTCTTGGTGACCAACAGCACTGTGATGAAGCTAAGGCTAATAATATTCCATATATGGATGCAGAGGCGCTGAAGAAACTTAACAAGAATAAAAAGCTCGTCAAGAAGCTTGGTATGTTGACATATTTTTGCATGTGTTTTGATGTGAAACAATTGCATTTTACCTTCTCAAAAGCACCATCATTGCTTAATATTCAAACAATGGTGGTTGTCAAGAGGAAGGAGATTAAAATTCTTCACTAGGTGAGAGTAATGTGAATCGTATCATTGCATCTCAATCCGTGTTGATACATATATCTTATTAAATAAAAATCTGTTACAAAAATCTTTGTTTCCTAAAAATTGAAAAAGCTATAAATATAAGTTGTAATATGTGAGTTATGGTGTTTATCGAAGATTAAAATTAAATGGTGTTTTTTATATATTCATATTTTTTACAGCAAAGAAATATGATGCGTTCTTAGCTAGCGAGTCGTTAATCAAACAAATTCCTCGTCTTCTCGGTCCTGGTTTAAATAAAGCCGGTAAATTTCCTGGACTGTTGTCTCATCAAGAATCGATGGTCGGCAAAATTGATGAAGTCAAGGCCACCATTAAATTCCAAATGAAAAAGGTATGTTATACTCAATAGTTTTCTATTTGAATTTTTTCTTCTGTATAAAACTTTGTATCTTTTGTAATGACTTACTACTTTTGTTCTACAGGTGTTGTGTCTGTCAGTAGCAGTTGGACACGTTGAAATGACACCTGAAGAGTTGGTGCAAAATGTCCATCTCTCAATAAACTTCCTTGTTTCTTTGTTAAAGAAACACTGGCAGAACGTGCGTTCGCTTCACATTAAGTCTACTATGGGACCACCACAGAGACTGTACTAAGTTACACTTGGTACGACTCATTTCAAATGTATTATTCATTGCAATAAAACTGAAAAATAATTCAAATTGATAAATTTATTCTGTTTTCATCTTTCATCACATTCGCAATAAATATTCTTCAATATTTCAAATGCTGTCACAGCGATGCTATAAATTAATTCAAATTCTTAGAATTTTAATAATTTAACTATTTGTATAATCTTAGCGACGCATAAGAAACGTATCGATAAAGTTTTATCGAATAAATGACAGAAAGTATCGTAATATTATAAAACAATTCTAAAATAATTTTAAAAATATATTAGTTTTTTATATAGTAACCAGCTTTTATGTTTTGAAGTGAAATCTTAACTTAATAATTCATATAAAAAAACGGATAGAGAAATTTATAATAATTATAGTGATTTTAGTAATTATAATAATTTTATAATGTAATTATAAAGTAATTATAATGATTTTAATAATTATAATAATTACAGTGATTTAGTTTATTGTAAACGTATCTTACAATATTTTGATATATTTTAGAATAATTTAAGATATTCAATTTTTCGCTCTTATCGTTTTATTACACGGACAGGTTTAAACGATTTCTTTCAAATATGCGGGTTGTCTGGAGTACCTGCTCGGATTTGTTAAAATCCCTCGGGAGAAGTATGTGATAGGTAAGGGTCTACGTGTCACGCGACAATAGGCGATAAAGGATGTAGCCGGACTCTGGATCCGGTTCATGGATGCTTCTTTAGGGATCGCGTTTGTGTGTGGTCGTACATATGTGTGTGCGTGGGTCCTACCGAGGTCTACTAAGCTCGAACAGACACACCACAGCCACGCTATTTCCAACGATCTTTGTGGGGGCAGTCCGGTGGCGGTCGCTGTGCTTTGAAGAGGCACATGGTTTCGAGTTCCGCTTCGTAAGCAGATGCCAATGAAGCCGAGGACCTGCAGTGTTTAGTCTTTTACTCCTTCTTTTCATACTTTTACGCTTGCGATCCTTGCGAAATTCTTCTGACGGCTACACGCATTTCTTAATTTGTCGCTTAATTCGTAGGATTTCTGGACGAACATCGATGGAGTAAAGTATTTGGGTAAGTTTGTTAATGATGATGAATGCCATGTGCTTCGAAATTTCGAGAGTCAAAGATAGTATGGATGCTTTGAGATATTGATATTATCTAATTATTTGGAATACTTTATATCAAAAATATTCTTGAGCTTATACACTCTAAATACATATAATTGATATATAAAATATTTTAAGGATTTGTTATTTGGATTTATTATTTATATTTCGGATGAGATAAAAAATGACCCGTTTATGTGTTGACAAGAGATTCAGTATAGTATTTACATTAACGGTCGAAGATAAAAGATTTTGTTTTAATTATTAAATTATAGGAGTATAATAAAATTTTAATTTATAATCTTCAAAGATAAACGTATCTTACAATTTTAACATTGATTATATTATTTTCGAAACGTGTTTTGAAAATAACAATGTTAAAAAAAACAAAAAAAATAGAAATAGAAAAAGAGATAAGTATGTAATTGATAAGTAATGATAATACTCGTAGAAACGATTTGCTGATACGCAGACCTGATTTTTATTTCTGATAAAATTGTCAGCTTCCGTAAAATGCGATAAGCACATATATACATAACTTTGAGTTATGTTTAATTATATTTTACAAATTATTAGATTAATGTAAAAAATTAAAAAAAAAAGGTGAATGAAATTAATAACCGAATCAGTTACAAAGTATCAATTATAATTCACGAAAAAGAGAAAAATTCAAATTTCTCGAATCATAATGTGATTGCAGTAAAGGGGGAAAAATTACATTTGTAAAAAAAAAAACTAATATTCTTTAGATAAAATAATTATTTTCTGAAAAGATTTCCTTGATTCGTTTGATCGCGAAAAAATTATTTAGATGATAGGGAGTGGAAGAAACGTAAGTCTCCCGTTTCTCGACTTGAAAAAGACGTATGACTCGACGTTAGAAATTTTGCGGATTTAGACAGCAATATCGGAAAGCGGGACTATCAGCGCGAGATGTGAAAAATCAGCGATCGCCCGTCAGCCTTCCCCGTGGACGGTGCGGAGAGAGAGTGTAAAAAATTGAACGTGCCGTAGGGGTCGGACGGACGGGCCGGCGCTTGTATTTGATTAATAAAGTGGCCGCAAAAGAGTGCACTCTTCTCGGACGAGTGGACTCTAGCTGGTTATCAGTGATATCAACTACCAGAGCGGCGACAAGCAGCCAACCGGGCGGAAGGCTGTCAACGAGAGCGCGGTTGAGTTGGGCAATGATTATCGAAAGCGCAGACAACGCGAATGAGTACTGACGTTCTTCAATTCAAACAGTCACCGAGAGACCCGCGACTTGATACACGCAGTATCGCGCACAGTATTATCGATAAATTATCGATTCGTAATCAGTAGCGATCAAGTGTTGTTCCCATATAATCCAGCGGTGTTGATCGAAGACAAAAGGGATGTGATGCTTCGTGAATTTTCCGCGGTAATTTCCGCTCTCGATTAATAGTGTTAATATATGTATATACTGCAAATTATCTCGTACATAAATACATCGATGACATCTATTATTATTGATGTACATAATATATAATTGATAAGTGATAAAATTAAAGTAATGGCAAATTATTAATTCGATTCGAAGTCAATATTTCTCGGAGCGAGTCGTTTATTTCCAGAGAAAAATAAAAATGCGGATCGACATCTAATTGACGTCGGTCTGATTTTTATTTTTTTCCCCGAAATTACGGTTTGCAATTTTTAATTATGCGTCTTCAATTATACATCTTATACTTTAAATTCAAATTTAACGGAAATAAACTTCCGCTTGCTAGTGTGAAAATATCCTTTTTCTTTTACGAGAGTTTCGAGGAAAAACCAAGATACATCCTTGAATAATGACGCACGTATACACGATCCTTCGGACGGGCGTGAAAGGAAATAGAGATATGACCGCTGTGCAAATCAAGGCTTTCCAAATCATTTCCGCTCTGTGTTAACTGAGGATGCGCTTTATTTTAATAGAAATCTTTAGCTCTTGCGTCATTGATGGTACTTGAAAACATTGCATTGTGACTTGCTGCAAGAGAAAATGTGCTCCGAGTCATGTAAAACGTTTAGATGTTGAAATAGTAATACGTTTCATATTACCAAAATATTAATACGATATTTGTATAATTAATGTAGCGTAATTAAATAGTTAAATTATAAATTCTAAGAATTCCGTTACTTCAGCGAATAACGCGAATGTAATGAACGTGATGAATTTTTTTATTTAGCGAGACTATACCGATTTTGTTCCTGATTTCTGGTTCTCTGTGCATTAAGTAAGACGTATAAGTTATGATATTTCGCAACAATTGGGACGTGCGATCGGCTTTGCTTTGTTTGCAGCGTTCATTAGAACATGTTCCTTGAAAGACACTTGATACTACTTATTCTCACTCTTCACTTCCTCTGTGTGCCATGCAACAATGACACATTTACGTCGAGTGAGACAACAATCGCCAAGTCGACGGAATTGGATTATAATTTCGGATCGACAAACCTTTACGATGCTGAATCTACAACGAATACTTTCGTGAAGATCACAGACGACGACACGACTTCTTACGAATCCACGGAGGAACCCCTGAAGACGGTCACCGATAAGTCCTCATCATCCACTGTCGATCATATCACGAGACCCGTTACTGTGCCTAACAATGTAATTTCTATCGATAGCACAATCAGTACGGAGATCTGCAATCTGACGTATGCAAACGGTAAGTGAATTAATCATATTTCAAGAAATGGAAGTAACTATCGTTACTTGTAATGAAGTTACAATTATCACATACATGCCAAATTTTTCCTGAAACGCAGTCATAAACTGCAGCTATAAATAATATATCATACATTGATCATTAATTTTGCATATGAATTAACGCGCACCGAGATCTGCTTTGAGTCTACCGAAGATAAGAATCTTTCTCTTATTTTATTTATTCTCATCGCGCAATTTAAATTTCATTTATAATTATCACTGAATTGTTCGGAAGATCATTAGCGATTATTCTTTGCGGCGTGTTTTATCTTGAAACGTTCTGTGCATTCGTGTCTTGCAATTTTGTTCTCAGTTGATGCAAAGGATGAGGTAGTTGATTTAAAGACGGATGAAATAAGCACTGAATGGATCGTTTTCTCATGGAAGTCTCCGTGTGAGGTGACAATAAACTCCCCGACATTATATTCCATCGAGATATGCGACGATAAAAAAAATTGCACGCAGACAAATGAGACCAATAGCTGGCATAACGCTACCGATCTGGAGTCATGCACGCAATATGAATTTAAAGTGAAAATGATCACCCCACACGGGAGCTCTAAAGGAGTCGTTCTGTCAGCTACAACGGCCAGTGAGTGTTCAATTTGCTTATAATAATGTTTAATTTTATCGAAACTAAAGATCCGTCAAAATGAGAAATTAACGAGTATCGCGCTGATTCTCTTCAGCTCCGGAATTTTGGGACGCGGAAGTAATCTCCCTAAGCACACGCACCATCAGTGTCAACGTTATTCAACTGACTTGGCAGGCGCCTGCAATTCACGAGAAATGCATATCCAACTACTCGATTACCCAGTGCGATGGAAAATCCTGCAACAAGACCACAGCCTTTGTCACGAATTACACTGCCAACGATCTCGAGCCATGCACGGAGTATTACTTTACCGTCAAAACGGTGACGCTATCCGTGGAGTCCTGTGGCGTAAACAAGACCGGGAAGACAGCCTCGCCGAGTAAGTTTAAGCCGTTTTAGAATTGGTGGAGAAGTGAAGAGAGACAGTATATATAGCGAAGGAGACCTAAAATGTGTCTGTGGAATTCGCGGTTAATTTGTTCCTGCAAAGTTGAGAGGTACTTTGTTAAGTTTCACCGCTCGACAGCTCTTCGCGAATAAGTCTTAAATTAAAGTTTGGTCACAGTAGGGAGTGTGCTTCATTTATATGCTCACTTTCCACCAATTCCAAGACAATCGGTCTCGATCTTCGGTAAATTTGTCTAACGTATAGACAATTTGCAGAATTGTCGGCACCGCAGTCCCTTCATATAATACCCGGCAATTTTTCGCTGACCGTTAAATGGGAGCCTCCGGAGTCTGGCACGTTCTGTCTGAAGCATTATTACATAACTACGGATTTCAACTATACCACCAATACTACGAACACAAGTGTGGTAATTCCGCATTTGCACGCTTGCAAGATGTATCAAATATTTATCAACGCTGTAAATGAAGATGACGTAGAAGGAAACACGATAGACAAGAGCGCTACCACGCTTCCGTATAGTAAGCACAATTAACTCATATACTTACTTTTACTAATTGTTTTAGCTCCATATATTTCTTTTTCGCTAATTGTTTTGTCTCCATATACATATAATATATCGCATTTGGTATATAAAAACCAATATTAATTCAGCGTTCGCTCGTTTCAAAGAGAATATAGAACACTATGAAAAAATTTTCTTCAATATTTCAGGAACGAATCCACCACTTTTGCATACTCCAGGTATACCGCCAAGTGTTAGAAGTCTGTCGATGATTTGGACCATCCAGAAAGAGAATAATGAGTGCCAGCTATCGTCTATAATAACTATATGCAATTACACAGAGAAAAGAGGGAAAGGCTACGAGCCCGAGAATCGCGTATCCCCGATGAATATAGATCCCGATATTGCTGCAGAGTCTGTTTTCGTACTAAACACAACCGTAGAAGGGCTAAGTCCCTTTACAAGTTACATTTGCTGGGCACATACCGTTAATATTGCAGGATACAGTGATTTAAGTGTTGGAGTCAATGCCACAACGTTGCAGGATGGTACAAGCACTTTTTTTTTTCATTAATATTATAATTTAATTAATTTAATTTTTCGTATTATGTATGTAATATGAAACATTATTCTAACATCAAAACGCCCTCTTTTAATAGTATTCTTTTTTTAAACAAAAATATTCAAGATTTTTAAATGTCATTGCATTTTCTTGTTTATTTTGTTAACTGGAAGGTGATATTGAACAGAAATATTTAAACATATTTTTTTATTCCACTATTATCTGTAATTTTATCAACTAATCTCTATCTCCTAATATACCTACTATTCAGAATATTGTTTACTCATCTCTCTCTATTATCATTTATTCCTTATTTCTTATTATCTTAATAGCTATAATATTTCTTAATAGCTATATATACTCTCTCCTTGTCAATTACCTTGTATATTTTCCCGATATTTACCGATAGAATAAAATACAGCCAGAAGGGAAGTCTAGTTGACTACTTTAAGATACCATCTGTCGACTCATTGTTCGATACCAATGACGCAACGAAAAAACAACGTTTAAATATCCGAAACGATAAATAACTATAAAATAAGAGATTTTAAACGCATAGTTTAAAGAATAATTAATAATATTCACATTGGTGAATTAAAAATGAAATTCGATTTATATTTAATTATGTGACTGGTTGATGAAGTTAAATCATTAATCGTGTCGAAGTACTTTATAAATAGCAGCTGCACAGAAAAATGCACAAACAACACTGTCTATCTTCAATATGAAGAAATCTCTATTCTCATGTGGATTTGGAATATATGTTGCACGCATAAGTTCACTAAAATGTAATTTTCAACAATTTTTATCTAATTCCACCCACTGTTCGATACCACCTTCTATTGCATTAATATTGCAGACTACGTTTAATAATATTGATTATATAATTTAAAGATTATTCGTTTCAATTAATATTTTGTGTTATTTTAGTATCATCTCCACCTGAGTTTTCTGTCAAAAATATCACCGACTCGCAATTCTCGTTATCGTGGAAAGAACCGGATTATTTGCCCGGTTATTTAGAAGAATTTGAAATCGTAATCTATTGGAAACCATTATATTCGATTCCAAATTGGTGCCCTCGCGAGGAACAAGATATGGATCGTTCTAAAAAATTTAATGTAAGTGGAAGCGTGTTTGAATACGATTATCTTGAAGCAAAAGCATTCACGCATTATAAAATACGTATAAGAGCGAAAACAGGGGAAGGATGGAGCAACAATAGTGATCCCTACATGTTTGCAAGCGATAGCGGAGGTATATTTTTCACTTTTTATTTCTTTATTTCATATTATAACGCAAGATTATTTCTAAATAATTATTTGAAATATTAAGCTGTTTCTGTACATATAATAATATCTATTAATATTTCTTCGCGAATAAAATTTTGATACAAATAATTTGAACTAAATGAGTATGCTTTGATAAATAATTGGCATTATCATTAGTAAAATATTTATATAATTACAAAGACCATTTATCAACTATAACTGATAACATATATCTATCTATAATCTTTTCCCCTTTCTTGAATATATATTTTTACTATTAAATATTATGATTATTATTATGCAGTTCCAGGGACAATCTCAAAATTCAATTTCTCATCTATTACGATCAAAGAAAATTCAAATGACACAAATGTGTTAGATACAATTCTAACATGGGGTTTACCGTGTTCATTAAACGGTGAACTCGAATTCTTTAATGTATCAGGCGTTGGTACTAGACATGAATATCCACCTCATTTTATTTCCGAGAAATACGAATGCACGGATTATATTCTCAACGATTACATGTGCTCGATAAATCTCAACGAGTTGAAAGGAGAGTATAATTATAATTTTACAATATCCACCAAAGTTAGAAACGTTGACACACTCGGATGGCCGATTAGTCAAAACGTGCTGTATCCTGCCGGTAGTAAGTATATTAATGTGAATATCAATATTATCATAATAATCTCTCTTCTTTAATATATTAAGCTTTTTTTAGACTTATATCAAAATTCGAGACAGAATTCCATTTATAACTTTATGCATTGAGAAATATAAAAAACGCTTGAATAGTTTAAATATATAATATTTAATGTGTATAATACATATATTGAAATATACTTTTATAAATAAAATTCACGACTTGTAAAATTCGTGATCATTTTGTTCTAAAAGCAAACTCTAACACATTATGTTATCACTATCATCGTGTTCTCCATGTACCTAAGTTGAAAAGAAGTGGCCCTGTGATAAAAAATAAATAATTACGTTTCCTTCAATCTTTCTGCGATTCCACAATTAAGAGTTGTTTTTCCTATCATAGTACCGTCACAGCCTACGGATGAAATGATCAAATCGATCACTCTGGACCCATACAAGGCGCGCAAAACCACAACGACCGCTGCAATTTTGCTACCCCTATTCCCCAATACCAGCGGCGAGATCAAGTTCTATGCGATCATGGTGGCGAAGATGGGACACAATAATATACGAGCAAACACGAGATTCGACCTGAAGAGCAATAATTGGCCTAATGCGCCCTCCTGGGAGGAAGCGACGATGAACGATTTCTCAATTACGTATCAAGCGACATGGCCACATTGGAATCCTTATCGTAGGTGATATACCCATAGATAGATGCAGGACGATTGTTTACAAAACGATATATGAAACTCGAAACCTCGCCTGCGCATACATTATTAAATACTTGACTCTGTTTAGCGAACTACATTGCTGATTACGGGCCGCACATAAAAGCCGTCAAGTATACGATCGGGGAGGATGTTAATTGCAAGGAGATCTCGTCTAATATGGATGAGCGGGTATACTGCAACGGGCCTCTTAATCCGGATACGTGGTATCACGTCAGAATGAGGGCATTTACTGACGGTGGTTACACCGATTCTGAGATATTTATGATAAAAACAAGTAAGTATATGTTGCAATTATCGGCCAGCAAATAATCCAACTAATACAAACATCTTACGTAACGGAAATACGAAAAACACACATATATTTCATCCGTTCCCCTTTCTTTTTTTTTTTTGCAACACACCAGACGCAGAACTCAATATCGCGCTCGTTATCGGAGCTGTCTTCGGCATTCTTTCCATGGGAATAGTGGTGACGATGATGTTGCTTGTACGAAAATGCTCGCCGTACATGTAAGACAAGATTTCATTATTATAACTCACATATATACATATGACAGATAAAAACAAGGAGCTATTAACGCATACCGACATAAGTTTTTGTATCTTTTTGATTAAACGTGACGATGTCGATCGAAGATAATCGGAGTTATCTCGTTCCATCGCATAACAGCAAACTATAATAAGATTATAGATTCCTATATAGTTTCTGAAAAAAAAAAAAAAAAAGAAAAAAAAAGAAAAAATGTTCGAGTAGCTGCAATATTATATTCGGATCCACCGAAATCACGTCACGGCGATGCGTAAACTTGAAATATATACAGGACAGGTGATGCACGCGCGTTTATGAACAATGATCGATATTTATTGTATGACTCAGAAGAGAGAACTATAGCTAAAGCGCGTGAGCAAGGTCACGCGATGCACGCGCGTCTATCGCACGCTAAAATATACAGTACATTACGGGCTCGGTGCTCGATGAGGTTTAAACGCCGTCGAACTACCGCGTGCTGAGCTCTGAAAAAGAGAGTCGCGAGTGTATATTTTGAAATTATCTTCGGTAATGCGTTTTCGAGCGTGCGCGAGATACGAGTGAGACAATAGTAGAAACAACGCCGACGAGATTGACGAGAGATTCGGCTATGACTCTGATCTTTGAGAGAAAATCGAGTCCTTGAGTCCGTTTCTAGTCAGACGCGTATATGTTTATTGCGTAAGTTTTCGTTATTCCCCTACTGTGAATGAGCTACCTACGCGATACCGGCGAAGGCAAGACATGCGTATACACGAAACGCTGACGCTATTGCGCACTTTTACGATTCTCTTCGTTACTTCGTCAGCGCGTTCGTCAAATGCGTTAACAGAAATCCATTTAGAGATCGATTTTCTAATCTTCATTACTTTACATATATAAATTTATTGTGATATATGTATATAGATTACACAAAAGTCTTCTTTTTTTTTCAATAGACAGCTTTTGTCAAATTAACATAACGTGATTGTGTATTCAACGAGACCGAAATAATGAAGCTACTTGAAAGATAGCAAAAAGAGAAGGAAAGAAACCGCGCGCGGTTAATACTTCGCTTAACAAAATTTTGATTTTAACATAAAACTTGTCCTTAAATGTGTTTAAAAGAGAAACGAGAAAATTTTTTAAACGTGTACACACACACACGCACGCACGCACGCACGCATATTTTTTCAGACGTATCTTATCCTTATTATTTTTTCATCGCGTATTTATTGATTAAATAAATACGCACGATAAGATAACTAATAGATCTTGCTTTGTGCGCTTTATAGAATAAATCACGTTCGTCGCAATCTCTTCTATTTCAGAGTATTGCGAAGATTTCTTCACTCTGACATGCCCGGCTCGCCTGTACCCGCGCCGTTCACCAGAAGAAAATTCATGAGCCATTGTCAGCAATTGGTAGACAATCCTGGGAAATTGAGCAATGAATTTCGGCTGCTTCAGACACTCAGCGTCGATTTGCAGATGCCTACAAATTCAGCCTGTTTGCAAGCTAACCGAAAGAAAAATCGCTACTCCGACATTTTGCCCTGTACAAACATTTGTCTTGCAATTCACTCGCGCATACATTACAACTTGTATCAACTATTATATATGATTCATACTTTCAGATGATTTCTCAAGAGTAAAACTGGATGTAATAGATAACGACCCTAATACGGATTATATCAATGCATCATTCATAAGGGTAAATTTATTTATTTACATACACACATGTGTATTATTAATGAAAACATAACTTTAAATTGCAATTAATTAAGAAGAAAGATGTTCTTTCACGAATTACGTTAGAGGAGAAATTTTAATTTTTAATGAGAAAAATTACTTCGCGAAATACTCCTCGATTACTGAATATCCTATACAAATGAAAAATGTAAATTTATTTTGCATCAGGGATATACAGGAGAAGATGAATATATAGCTTGTCAAGGTCCGAAAGAGGAAACTACATACGATTTTTGGAGGATGATCAATCAGTATAACGTTAATATTATAATTATGCTGACACAGTTGGTCGAGAAGGGCAAAGTAAATTACAATTATCGATAATAATTAGCATAATGTTGATGCCATTTATCATACATTATTAATTCGCTTTTCAGGAGAAATGTCATCAATACTATCCGACAACAGGAGAAACTTTTCGATACGAAGACATGATAATACGATGTACAAGTGAATTAGACTTCAGAACACATACCCAAAGAACACTTGTATTACAAAAGGTATCGTTTTTTTAATATAATGAATAGTACATATTTATAGAATTTTTTTATGAAAAAACATCTGTAAAAGTTATAAATATAATTACAGGACAATAAGAAAAGAAATATTATTCACTTGCATTTTAAAGACTGGCCCGATCATGATGTTCCAGAAGATTTCGATCCAATGATCAATTTTTGCCAAATAATGCGCCGTAATATTATCGCTAATAAAGGTTCCGTTGTTGTTCATTGCAGGTACGAACAAATTTTCTTCGAATACAGCTGTTTTGCATTTTACGGTTTCAATCATAGCGTTCATTTCATATTTATTATGTAATAATTTATTATGTAATAATAAAAAATATCATTTTTTTTTACAGTGCAGGAATTGGTAGAACAGGAACATTAATAGCGATAGATATTCTTCTACAACAAATTAGAGATAATAGAAAATTAGATGTATTTGGAACTGTGTATAGATTGCGACATCATAGAATAAATATGGTACAAAGAGAAGTAAGTGATTCATAGTTAAATAATACTAAACTAGTAAAAAAAATATTGTGTAATTTATATTTCGGTTAGATAAAATATTGAATATTAAAATTTAAGAAGTTACGAAAAATCGATATTTTTACTAAAAAAAATAATTAATGACATTTTATTGAGTCCGTGTTACATATTTGTCTTTTTTATCAATTTAAAAATATTGTGCATATTAGTATTTGTATATAAACTCATATAATGTAAAAAGAACATATTTACTTTTTCAGAGTCAATACGCTTATATATATAATTGTATAAAACAAGTACTCAAGAATCCTTATTTCTTAAAAACTTGTAAGTATCCTTTACAATATGTTTGGTACATATATTTCTTTAAAAAAAACTTATATTACCTTGTATTCTTATAGACAAACCACCACCAGTTGAGCCAATATATGAGAACACTCCTAAAAAAGCCAAAGATACAACAAATTCAGACACAACTCTAGTCAACAATCTTGAAATTTGTATGTACTATATATTTAATATATATGTATACGTACTTTATGCTCTGTAGCAAACTAGATATTTTCTTTACTCTTATGGTATTATTAATAGTATTAAAGAAAGCACGATAGAAATAACACTAATCTATTTTGTACTACAGAATGAGAGTCTCTCCAACTATTTAATACGTGATGAGGTAGGAACAAAATGCTTGGATCGCGTTATCTTTTTCCGCTTTGCATTTTCCTCTTTTGCTTTAATTATACGTATATATTTCGTATATCTATTACTATTTAGTTATTTAATATTATCTGAGCTAAACATATAACATCCATTGCTTCTTTATGTATGGTTTGAGAATAATTTTGCAGCTGACACATGCTTGCTATGAATTGGATATAATGCAATATGGAACGAATAAAATGTATTTCAAGCTAGTGATTATTTTTTACATTATGTTGAAAATCAAAATTGTATTATTTTAGTGTTTTTTTAATATTTCATAATCTATAATCGAACTGCTTCTTTGAATCAATTCTGTATTGCACAATTGTTTATATCTTTGCCTAAGTATCATTCTAACATACTGCATAATTATTCCAGTAAAAAAACATAACTCCATATCTCTGGACTCAATCCACACTCTCTTTTCTCGGTCCTCTTCAAGCATAACAAATAGCGGTAAGATTGAAATAAGATCTCATGAATCTAAATTATATTAAATACAGGGAATGGAAAGTTACTTTTTAAAAGTAACTAGTTACAGTTACTCGTTACCGAGTAAAAAATGTAACTAGTTACAGTTACAGTTATCGCTTTTTAAAAGTAACTCGTTACAGTTACCGTTACTTGAAAAATAACTTTTCGTTACTTTTCCGTTACTTTTTTAAAAAATCATTTATTATGTATAATGTAATAGATTTTATCCCATAATTTTATTTTAAGATCTGAGGCAATGCAAATCAATGAATGCCATAAATACAAAAACTCATCACATACCTATAGGTCAGTGAAAGATATCAGTATAATGTTATACATATACATATATATATATAATTTTCATTACAAGGACAATATTAACAGATGTTATTTTTCAGAAAAATCCCGTACTCTGAATTGTATTTTTAAACCACTGAGGGATTCGTACAAGCTAAAAAATAGAGAAAGTTCAACACAGGAGAGTATTCCATTAGTAACTTATTCAAGATTAACTGATGTACTTTGTGATAACGTAGAAGACGGAACAGATAGTAAAATTTATCTACGTGTTTAATAAAATTTACATTGTACAAATTATTCATTATTTTAACAGTGATTTACTAAATCTATCTATTTTGCAGCTATGTAAGAGACGACTGAATTGTTTACAATTATTCATGTGTTAAATTGATCAGTGAATACTTAGATGTTGGATCAAAGTATACACTGTAATTACATGTAAATATAATTACGTTGACAGAATATAAGATAGAAATCTTAAGATAGAATTGATATTGTACTCTTACTTTACGTATTATTTTTATAAATAATTGCAGTTCTATATGTGAGCATTTCAATATATATAAACACATCAAATGCCAGAATACATTATGTGATACTGAATATCCTTATCAGTATTATTACCTAATACATGCCTTAAGGAAACTAGTCCAACTAGAAAACATTTTAAGTAACAGACATGAGTATTATAACTAGAAAGTACATAAAAATATAAACCATAAATAAGTAAAGATTAGTAAATAAGACATTTTATAAAATGCTTAAAATATATGTATTATTAAAAAGTATCATATGTACATTTATTCATATAATTTACGCATTTTGTACTTTATGCTTATTTTAACCTACATTTATTTTTAAGATATGCATAATATAAATTACAACAAAGCTTACAATTATCCATTCAAAATCAAATTCATCTGATTTCTTTCATGTAATGTATTTCCTTGAAATAAATATAGTGTTAATATCTAACTTCAAAATACAAAAACATCTATTTATTTTATAGATATATTAATATCGATATTTAGTGGAATAATCTTTAGGAGAGACAACTAAACCACGACCTTTCCTCGCACCTCTGTAAACTGTTTCAATAATATCAATCATTTCCTGTTTGTCCTCCAGTGTCCAATTTATTTTGTTATTGTTTCCGGTACCTAAATCTATCATGATGTGTTTATTCCTAAAGAAGAACATTACTGTACATGGGTCGTACAGTTCATACCTGTAAAGAGTATATAATACATATATATATTATATATTTATATATACGTTATTATTAAGATATCATACCATCAAAATATATTTCAATGATCAGTCTTAATTAAAGTGATTGATTTAATTTGTTCTTTGAGGAATTAATTAAATCATTAATTAATTATTGATGCAATATATGAACTTACAATGTAAATTCCTACTTACATTTTATTAAAATCTGGCACTTTTGTGATATCTACTAAATAAATAACGGCAAAGTTCTTGACTTTTTCTGCAATATTATAAAGTACCTCATCCATTTTCATACACATCGGATCCCAATCATGTCCAAAGCGAATAACCTAGAAAGAAACAATATTTTCGACGCATGACTTCTAACTGAAAATGATTTTATTGTAACTGACTTAATGTTTATCTATAACAGATAAAGTAAAACTGAGTAAAACATGTCGAAATAAACTGACTACAACTCTGTCTTCTTCCGATAGAATGGCTTGATCAACTTGATAGCCGTTTTCCAAATGCGATAGCATGTAAGACATTTTGAGATGTGTGAAATACGAATTTTGCGATTACAACGATGCACACACAGTTTCCCTTGAATTAAGGTAATTACAGAATATTATTTAAACCGTTTAAGGTTAGGAAACGTACTATCGGTACTGTCACTACCGTTACAACGACGCCAAGATCTGTTCGCTCTACTTGCACTTTAGCACTCATATTTCGCGCTCTTTTTCTTTTCAATGTTCCAGAAATTTCTTCCTTAGCTCTTTCTGTACTTTAAATTTTTGTTTTCTATTTCTTCCCAAACAAAAATCCAATTATACAACAATTAATTTATTTCAAGTGCAAGTATAAAGAACAGATATTTAAAAGTAAAATGCAACTATTTTAATATATGATGTGCCTAATTTTCAGAAAAATGAGAAAAACTGTTTTATTATTATGTGAGGCACACATAATTTATTGTCAAAGGTAGATATAGGTTTATACCATGAAATGTATATAAAACAATTGTTTATTATTTTTTACATCTATATAGAAATACAAAGTATATATATATATAAACAGCAAAACAAATGATACTTATGTTTTGGAATTAAGCAGATCTATGTATGCTTCCGCGATCAAGTCATCTTTTTTTATGAATAATGCTTGCATGAGGTCGTCAGCAATCTTCTGTCCAGTTATTATATCCTGATCTTCTTTCAGCACTACCTGTATTATTAATATACCATTGCATATATATTATATCTTTATTAATATTTACTAATATGGCTATATAATATATAATAAGTATAAATTTACAAACCTCTAGTTCTATAAAATTACCCAGACCATCGACTTTGTCAATATGTACTCGAGTTTGCCCAACAATGAATAAGAGTCTCGTTTTTTTAACAACTCCTAGTACACCATTAGATTGAGTCAAAATATGTCCTATTGACTCAACAATATCTGAGTTTAACAATACTTTGTCATAAGTAGACAGCTTTGGTCCTGAAACATCAGGCCTTTTATACAAAATCAACTCTGCAGTACCATCCTAAGAGACAAGAAAAAAAAATGTTTGGTTTTAAAAGAATAATATGTAATTATACTTAGCGTTAATTAAAAAATTTAATAATTGCTCCAACCTTGAACTTTCGTAATTTTAACCTTCCTTCTTTTGTCTTGAAAAAGGTATCATGCTGTTTGATTTCAATTTGAGCGGTATCACTTAGCTCTGTAGCTTTTGAAATGGTATGTTCAATATCTCGAATTACAGCTTTAATCTCAACGTTACGATGCATGCTTGATATCCTTGAAATCCTCTAACATTTACAGAGATTTATTGATACGTTTTATTTTTCAGATTCTTATCATGTTTCTTATCTTAATTATTCAGATTGTTATTTTACATAAGTCTAGCTATTTGCATTGCTTGAAATCTCCAAAAATTTTTACACAAATGAGTTAAATATATATATTCGAGTATATGTGTGTGTGTGTTGAAGATAAAAAAGAGAGGATGCTTAGTGTAAAATGTACAAGTAGCATAAACAGATATAGGTATTATTTTGCAAATTTCTATACATTCAATTTATAATTATACAAATCGTAATCTGATAAAAAATATTTTAATCGAAAAAATATATAGATTTCATCTTTTATTTCTATATGTTAGTGTAATATATTATTCTTAGAAAATCTTTTTTATTCAATCTTACTTGTGTGTGTATATATATATATATATATATACTAATTAAACTTGTTTATCTCTAATTTCAAACGTTTAACGTAACAGCAGAGAGAAATCTCTGGTAACAGACACTGTTGATAAATGACACCAGAGGGTGCGTTTCAGTTGGCACTTCTGAACTAGTGCACTATTTGTGTGCACCAGTTTAGTGCAGGAATAAAGAAAATCTCATGCATGATCTCATGCCAGAGAGAAACCTGAGAGAGGATATGACGACCTAAAAGCTGTGGCACAGCCACACAGAAAAATAGCAGCAAATGAAAAATCAAGTACATATTCTTGAAGGGCTATCTTTTTGCTAATTTTTTGCTCTATTCTCGACTTTTTTAATTCACCGTTTATGCCAAAAAATTCGACCCACAGTGTGGCTGTGCTGACTCGCGTACAAGAGTAAAGTACAATAAAGCAATCAATTGCCGGGATCATATATACATATGTATATATAACTTATTTAAAATATAAACACGCGCGATATATTTTAACACATTTGTAAAAAAAAAATGGGGGTAATATACAACTTTAATGTTAATACTTTTAAGCTTAATAATAAACATCACGCGCATGTAAGTAAACATACATATAATTGCAGAGAAGAATATTTATTCTGATCCACATTTTATGTAGCGCGAATACGATTATACGAACCGCGCGAATATCTACTTACCATCAGTCTTGAAAAGTAGATGCGTTATCCTCAGAATAGTGGAGCTTGCATGTAGTTTACATCCACTTCTTCAGAGGGCAGTAGTGCGTGGCAGCATTTTGCGGTTACAAGTTTTAGGCCGTCATGTCCTCTCTCAGGTTTCTCTCTGACAGTAGATAACCGTCAGTGGATGGGTGTCACGTTTGGAGCAACGGAAAGAGAAAGTGAACACTGGTGGACACTGTACAGGTAGCAGCGACGAGGTGTGTCGACGAATGTCGAGATTTCTGAGTCTTCGGAGGAGATGCGCGTCCCAGGGGACCGCGGGGCAATGAGTAACGACGTAACGACGAGTCGGCCGGAACGCGGGTCATGAGTAACGCAAAATGAGAAGATCGTATAACGCCGCGGTGGAGGCCCGATCAACGGACTGCCTCGAAGTCACGAGGCGTCTGCACAAGTAAGTCCCTCCGTTTCCCTGCGTAGAAATAAGATGCTCCAACGTGAAAGTATAAATAGTATAATTATTTTTTATCTTTACTGTGTTAAAAAAAAGAGATACTTTCATAATGATCTTGGAGAAACAAAGGCAGAAATTTTGAGAAACGTGAACCTAACCCATCATTGTCTCAATCGCCATGCTTGTTTCTCACTTGCACGTTTTTCGATGAATTTTGCGCAGTCTGAGTTGTTTCAGGCATGATTGACTCATTCTTAACCGGAAAAACGTCTGATTAATGCATTTATATTTTAACATTGCGTATGATAGTATTATAGATAACCTGGTAAATGAAAAAATCATGTAGTCAAATGTGTATCTTTGATAATGACCTTCACATATGACTCAAAATATGCTGGTTCATTCTTTAAATGTGCATTTTATTATTTGTCTTGTTTAGAAGCGTGACAGAGATCGTTAAGAAATTGGACGAGCAAAAGAATCGTGCTCTGACAGTAAGTGACATATTTGTTCCATCTGGGAAAATTCAACGCATGAAACTTAAGGATTATTGCGAGAGATTGTTATTAAAAGACCCTATTGGGAACGTGCATAAAATAGAGGAACTTCTCTGGAGAAAAGCTTTCTATGATGTTGTATATACAGCCAAGAAGTTACGGAAGGTAATATTTGTAATGTGATGTACTGAAAATTGTAGCTGACGGTAATCTCTTGACTGAAACCTCATAAGTTTTTATACATTATTTTACATATAATATAATACATTTTACTTATTTTAAATATACATAAATATGTACAGGTTTTTAAATATAAAATAATAAAAAATAATAATGTATATATATTTTTTAGGGTAACACCTGGAATGATATTGAAAAAACGCTGCTTTCGGTTCATTTGGTAGTAGGTGTGGGATATTATCATCATCTAATAATGAGACTGCAAACTGAATACGATCTAGATCTTGTTGGCATCGTTGATTTTGCTTTTATTCAAAATGAAAGTATTTCATCATACGTAAGAAAAATTTTCAATATTTAATTTAACTTATTCTGATGAGAGAGAGAGAGAGAGAGAGA